TGCGGCAACTGTGTGATGCCATCATGTCAATATGGACCAAACTCCCTGAGGAATGCTTCCAGCACCTTGTTGAATCTATGCCACGAAGAATTGAGGCAGTTCTGAAGGCAAAAGGGGGTCCAACCCGTTACTAGCATGGGGTACCTAATAAAGTGGCCGGTGAGTGTATAATGTAATCTGAGAACACACAGCCAAGACATGTCATGTAATATATTACTTATTTAGTAGTAGACTAAATTTTGTCAGCCAAGCAGACATAAGCTTCTTAAATTCACTCATGAGTACATAACCTGTTCATAATGTGGTATAAAAGTTAAAAAACGCATTTATAAGAATAAAACAGTCCCACCAAGTGGATAATAAAAGAATAACATGAAAGCACTAAACAAAACAGACAGCGTGTGCTTCCACAGTTAATAGAAAGGTAGGCTAACACATTACATTAATTTACATTAAATACAAAAGGCAATACAGCTACTTTGAATCCTTCAAATTAGTTTGGTCTGAAATATAGAAGAATTCCACATCTCTAATCAATGGTCTTTTTATTAAACACATTCTGCCATCTTAGTCAGGTATTTCCCCAAAGAGAACAAAAAGTTCCTTTCCATGCTAAACTAATTTGGTTGGACAAATAGAGTTTGTATGCGTCACAGTGAGCACCGCAAGGCATCTAGAGATGGTTTCCAAAACCACAAGCTCACTGGCTGCAAAGGCAGTCAAGCTGTTGGGGGAACATGTAGGCATTAAAAGGCTTTTAACCAGACATAAACTCATTTGAAAGCCTGGGATAGGGCCTGTTTTTATGCAGATAATTATAGCAAAATGTATGCGAGGGATGGTTTTGTGCTGATATCTAGATGGGATAGAAGTGGCCTAATGACATTTAGGGATACAATCCAAAAGGAGATGTTTAAGATGATTTTAAAAGATAATGCCTACGTTCTAACAGCTTGACTGCCTTTGCAGCCAATGAGCTTGTGGTTTTGGAAACCATCTCTAGACTGCCAAAAAAAAAAAGACTGTAATTCAGCTGTATACATCCCTAAAATCATCTCCCCTAAACCTAACCTGTCGATATGTGAGTATAAAAAGCACCTCTAGAACTTCAGGCCGAATATTATGACAGAAATGTCACCATCTAGAGGTTAGTGATGACACTACCCTGGAAACAAACAAACACTGTAAATGCTCGTTCAATTTGACCCGTGTGTTTTATTAGTTCACTATGTTTTTACTTTCCTACAGACCTACACAGATCACTCCTTGTTCCGACTTTGCATCTTAATTTCAAAATAAGAGTCGTGGCTTTCTACTTTTCTTTTGGACACACTTTTAGAGGGCACGGACGTAAGATGATCGGTATCAATGCTAATGCACATGAGCTAATACACGACTGATATTCCATTGCCACTGCAGACAATGCAGCCAAAAGAAATCAGCAAAGCAAGCCATTGGTATACACAATCCAGAAAAGTGATATGTAATCTAAAATGCATGTCGTTGATCTTTTATGTTAAATTTGACAAATGAAGCTAGCAGTTGTAAACAAAGTTACAGAAATCTCACAGCAAATAATGCACCAAATTATAACTCGAACCCTTTTAAAATAATTTTGAGGATTTATCTTTGCAAGTTATTGTGTTTGATATGGTTGGTTAAAACCTGTTAACCGTCACCAGTGCGTGGGCGCTCTGAAGCGTTTTTTTTTTAAATAGTTCAAAGTTACTACATATTTAATGTTATTAACTTGACAAACTATACATCATTAAAACGATATAAGACTCAAGTTTCAGTATTTGACCACTATTGTATTCTGAGAAACTTATAGTGACAGTTATGTCTTAATTTGTGTCAGGAGTTATGAAATTAAAAAACGAGTCGTTACCTTTAATATGAATTATGAGCGTCAGCTGCTCTCATTCAGAAAAAAACTCCCGTGCGATCGTCATGACAGCGCTTGACAAAACAACGTCCCTCAGGGCTTTTAGCTCAAACATGTGCAGATTTGGAGAAATATTGATAGATTCTCATAAGTTTACATCAGATTTCTATAGACAAGAATAATATTTATTGAATTTATACCCAAATGCGTCGATGTAATCATTTTGAGCGCTGGATACTCTGATCTACTGTATATTATCAATTCATACTGAAGTCTGGGGCGCTGTTGGACAGTAAAGTCCATATATGGATCACATGAAGAAGAGCCATAATCATGTGACATTCAGGAAGTCCTGACACAACAAAGCTATCAGAGATCGCTGTAAAGTGCAGATAAAGATGTTTTGAAGACAATAAACATGATTGCAATGATATTTGATTTACCTGTGTTCTTCGAGTCATGTCAGGTATTTTCATAATAATAGATTATATGTATAATGTAATGCTAATCGAGATAGACTTTCAAATTGTGCAGAATACAATAAAATAATATATTTTCTATCTGATTTTTTTATCTGAAGCCAAATCAGATTACAGAAAGTTATTAAAAACACTCGACTTGCGCTGTAAAGTAAGTTTGGAGCACAAACATAGTTTTATTCTCATAAATTGTCGTGTATTGATGGTGTGCTAAGCTAACATGCTAGCTAGTACTGAGCACCTGCTACCTAACTTCGGTGTAATTTTTATGATTTTTTTTCTAAATAAGAATGCTTACTAAAATGTTTCGTTTTTCAAAAAGGGCATTTGATACAGTTTCACTGTGAAGTGAGAACTTTTATAAAAGAAATGAGGGATTGAAACAGTGTGAATTGCTAGTCGTTAGTGATTATAATGCAGACAAAAGAAAAGCATATTTAGAGCAATAAACAGGCTGGAGAGGTGTGAATATGTGCAGGGGAGACTGACACTGAATGGGGCTCGTTTTTGCATCACAAAACAATAGAGGCAATAGACTGAATAGATGCTTATAAGATGACAATAAACCCCAGTCTAATCAAAATAAAGTCATATGACATGATCTTGAAAAACATTGAACTAAATACAGAGTTTTAGACTTATCATCTTCAGATTTTAAATATAACATGGCCAGACATGTGGCTTTAGCTGCAGTGCATTTCTAGATTGCTACAATGCCAACTTCAATTTTATTTTCATGAAGATGTTTCATAAAAATAAATGTATAATAATTTTACAAAACTTTGAAGCTATTTATAACTATTTTTTTTCATTATGACAATAATTAATTCTACATTTACAATAAACTTCCAGGTGTCAGCTTTCAAATGAGATCTTACTTGTGCTTTTAGTACAAAGGGTTCATGAACTGTATCTGTTTCGGTTTGGGAATGCCATATCTGGGGATTTTTCAAAAATGGGGTTGCAGGTTAACAGGTTAAATAAACGGATAAAATATCCCGGATGGGTTTGGAGTGATCATTTGCATGGCAAATATTACACTGCCATTGTCCAACAGTCAGATGGCTATAATAATTCAGCAGTCAGCCTGTATCTGACTACAGAAAATACTTAATATGATAAATCAATCATTGTCAAATAAAACAGTAAATACATCCTATACAATGATATGTTTTGCATTCCTGTTTGCTAGAATTTCATGTCAATTACATCAAACAAATCACAGATTTTTAAACTTTTATTTAAATCCATCGTTTTTAAATCCAAGAAAGTATGAAACACTGAAGGAACATTTTTAAATATGAACAAAAACCAGTATTTGCATATATTCCTTTTAATATTTCTACCACATTTTTTTCACTATAGGTTTAGATCACAACACAACTCAAATACACTGCTGAAAAGCCTGCGCAAATGTTTGAGCTGTTTGTCTGTACATTTATATTACTTGCTTTGGTCCTTATACTCTATTTGTTTGATAACCCTTGACAAATGTGACTACTGATGAAGAATAGATGTGATCTGCATAAACCCCACTGTAACACAGTCTTGATATACTTTTACAAAATCAATACATTATGTCATTAAGTTACCTTAGCCTAAATAGGCCAGTTGACTTGGATGTGGCAACTTATTTCAAACAGAAGCATGGAGCACCAACTGTCCAAAGTTTAGCCAGACTGCCTGCTCTTAATCCAAACATTTACTGCACATATTAATCTGTATGATATCATGGCCACGTTGATGGTTCTCATTGATCGCAGCTCCAAAAATCTGCTCTGTGGCCTGTATGAACGCCATGTAATTCAACTTTTAAAAACACAAAAACAAACCAACCTGGTTATTTCACAGGATATTTCAGACAAGATAACGATTGCAGAAGTGCTTGTTTATTAATACAAACATGTAATAATTTACCCTACACCCTTGTGCAAGCATTATATTGCATTTTCACATACTTCACATCAAGCCACAATAACTCTACAAGGTGTGAAATATTTGAAATGTTAAGACCTCTTATAAGCCGATTTAAGCTTTATCTGGACCCTAACAAAACCACATAGCTCGATTGCTCTGAACAAGTCACATAGTCCTTATTAGAAACAGATACTGTAGTTTGTGTAAAAACTGAGAGACTTTATAAATCTGTTTATGAATATTACATGAATATCTTTGGGATACTGAAATAACTACACACAATAAATGTTGCTTTACTCCATTAAACTCCATTCACATCAACTCTGTGAATGCACAATAAATTAGGGTTGAATTTACAACAGTTTGCATAGATTCCTGGGTTTCGTATGAGTGACGATTATGCATGGACAGCTAGCTGAAAGGCATCAACAAGAGTGTTTTTATTAGCTTTTTACAGTATTTTTAGTGTTCTGGTGCAAGGAAGGAAAAGTGCCCGCATACTATTAGCAATCTACTCTCCTTATTATATCTGTGCCTTAAAGGGATAGTTAGCCTAAAATTTAAATTCTGTGATCATTTACTCACCCTTGTGTTGTTCCAAACCTGTGTGACTTTCTTTCTTTTGCAGAACACAGAAGATATTCTTCTTAATGTTTTCATCCACACAATGAAAGTCAATGGGGTCCAAAACAAGATTAGACCCTGTTGACAAAAGCCGTCTATAAAAAGCAAAAAAAATTAAAAAAAAAAAGAAAGTTGTAATGGTATTTATGGTCCACAGAAAAAAGAAAGTCACATAGGTTTGTAATGACATGAGGGTGAGTAAATGACGACAGAATTTTCACTTGGCTAAACTATCTTTTTAAGGGCAATTGTATATGGAGCATTATGACAGGTAATGGCACCAGAGCTATTTGAAATAATGATGAAATGGTAGCAGTATGTGCTTGAATCTATGCGTTCACAAAAAAGAAAGAGCACCACCAATAACATAAAAAAACAAATGACCCCTTTGACAAAAGTTATCTTAAATACTAAAGTTAAAATGTTGGTAAACTTTAAACTTTAACAAGCCAGTGTGCACCATCATTAAAGCTTTATGAACATTGGATGTAAAACTAATAGCCATGGGTCAGTTTCCTAACTACAAACCTATATAGCATTTTCAACTGAAACACCACTGATAGTGTGATTTAGTTGATATCTAGACTTAACTTAACTAGATATCTTTAAGTATAAGAAAATTAAAACAAAAGCTTGAGGCACTATATCCCACCAAAAACATTGAGCAAGACATCCAGAATTTGCATACACATAGAAAGTGCAGTTGTAAAGGTTACAATTGGTGTCTAAGTGCATAGATTTGTTCTCACATTTACAGTATGGCTTATTTCAAAGATTCAAAGGTTGCAGAGAGAGGCCTCTCATTGTCTCTTGGTGTGCTTGGAGTTGTAGTGGCTCCGCATGTCTTTCCGGAGGCGGAACTTCTCTCCGCAAACGCCACAGATGTACAGATGCACATCCATGTGCTTTTCCAGATGCTCGGCGCTGGGGAAAATCTGGAAACACACCTGGCAGATAGTCTCTCCGGCAGATAGGTGAGAGATCATGTGTCGCACATGATCATGTTTAAGGAACGTACCTTGATCGCACACAGGGCAGACGTACCGCGCCATTCCCTTGTGCATGTCAGTGTGCAACCGAAGCTGTCGTTCGCGCAGAAACTGTTTCCCGCAGGTCTGACAGGTGAACTGCTTTTCCTTGGTGTGCACGGTGTAGTGCTCTCGTAGGTGACACCTTTGGTAAAAGCCTTTGCCACAAATTGCACAGAAATGCTTGCGCCGATGGTCTGGCTCGCTGCTGTCTTCCAACAGAACGGGCCGGAAGGGCTCCTGTTCCGGACAAGACAACGTATGCTCCACTGCAAGACTTTCACTTTCAAATATCAACCCACAGAGCGGACAGCGAAAGCCCAGGTCGGCTCCTTCCAGCAAGCTTTCATCCATAGCCTCGGCATCTTCAAGTAGAAGCGAATCCTCACCTGGGGAGTCCGTCTCGGCTCCTTGGGGTTCACCACAGCGCTCTGCGTGCTCCTGCAGCTGCCTGCCTTTAATGAGCACTTGGCCGCACCTTCCGCAGGCGCAGATATGTCCCATGTGGCTGGAGATGTAATGAGCAGACTGATTCTCCTCCGTCAACAGGGTTCCGCACAACTCGCATGGAATGCACGCACCATCTTGCTTTTCCTCTTTGATCCGGTGCACCTTTGGATCCGTCTCTAACCCTGTGCTTTGGCCCTCCAAAGCATCCATGGCAGATACTCCAGCCTCTTCCTCGCTGTCAAACTTAATCTGGTCTGCAAGATTGTCTTTGTATGCCCTAGTACGAAATTTGCAGCTCCCTACGTTATGGTTCCCTACCTTCACGACTTTTATAGTTTCCAAATCGCTCTCGGAGTCATTGTCTCGTTCCACTTTAATGGTTATATTCCTGGAGAAGGCAGCTTCGCTGTCCATGCCAGTGGCGACGGACCTGATCACGGTCTCTGCATCCAGCTTGTGGTCTGACCAGTCCTCTTCGCCCTTGCAAACTGCTCTGTGTTCATCTGTACCCTCTGAGTTCGAACTCTCGGCTTTACCAGCATCACTGTTACCCTCTTTGCCGACTTTGGGCGTCTGGAAAGCTTTGCGATTGGTGCATGTGAGGATGTGTTCGATGAGCAGCTTTTCACAGCTGAACACAAAGCCGCAATCGTCGCATGTGTATGTGCGTCCAAACCGAGGACGTTCTTTCATGGCAGAGCTTCGGCCTGAAGTTCTCTTCCTCAAGTCACACGGCTGGTCTACAACAGTCTCTGAGTGTGGCTGCGGGTGTGGAATGACCACATCTTCAGAAGGCCTGACAGTTGAGATGTTAATGGTTTGACGAGCAGTTGTGGTTGAGGCTTTTGCTGTGCGTTCATTCTCAGAAGGGCTTGGCCGCTGCTGCTCAAACATTCGAACGCCAAACATCATCTTGCCTCCAACCACGCTGGATGAGGACGAGGAACTGGACGATGAAGAGGACGACGCAGATGACGAAGGTGTCAAATTGGACGTTCTGATGTCTCGGAGGTCCTCGAGAGAGTCTGGGATGTAGTACATTTGTAGGTAGGTCATAGATGATTTCAGCTCCTCAAACTCATAGTGATCCACAACGATTCGGCCAAGGTACATGAGCTGCAGGATGAGATCGAAGCACTCTGCGCTGATCTGCATGTTGCTGAGATCAAACCGCGCAGTCCCCTGCTGATCCCGGATGAACATCATTCTGAAGTAAGAGCTGCAGGCTGCCAGCACGGCCTTGTGGGCCCTGAAATAAATGTCCCCTATGGCAATGCAGCAGTCACAGAGGAAACCCCATTCCCTTTGGTTGTTGAGCTGCTGCAGGACATGCTCACTGTGGCTTGGCCTTGCCATTACCCTGTGAACAATCATAAAGAAACACATAGTAATTAGTAAGACCCAAGTTTGAGGAATCTTCTTTTTCACAGGTGCCCTTTGGCCATGACCATCATGATAATGTATTGATTTGCAAACTAATTGTGGATGTTCAAAACATACCTTTGAAATGGAATGAAACATGGAGTTCAGATGTCTCTAGATACGTTTTTAAAAGTTGAACTATTTTTAACTTGAAATGTCATGCTGTCAAAAAATTATAACACTCATCATGACAAGACACCCAAAAACAGACAAAGACAAGTGAATTCGTATGCCTGCTTAAAAACAGGATGAAAAATAGAAACCAACTTCTATGAGAGGGTTTTAAAATGCAAATTGTCAGCTGAGGAACAGCACACTAATTCAAGCACTGACACTTAAAAAGCTTTTTAATGGTTTGGAAAGAAGTCTCTTGCTAATTTTATTTGATCAAAAACAGAGTAAAACATTTTAAATTGTGAATAATTATTGCAATTTAAGATAACTGTTTTGATTTCAATACATTTTAAAATGTAATTTATTACTGTGATGGCAAAGCTGAATTTTCAGCATCATTACTCTTTAGTGTCACATGATCCTTTAGAAATTATTCAAGTTAGCTGATTTGGTACTGATCCCCTAACTTTTGAACAGTAGTGTATATAAGAAAAATATAGATAAAATAGTCAAACTCACTAAACAACAGTCAGTATTGAACACCTAGTCGACATTAGTCACTCACACCTGTAAAACTAAAGTAATTGCCATTTGGCTACATTAAACAAATATTTGCACTATATTGTAACCAAATGGGGAACTCACCAGGTAAAAAATCCCTAAAAGGAGCAAACTTGGTCAATAAACTCAATTGATCTGGCTATAATAATTAATGGCATCTACAGTATAATTAATTAGCTTCAAATTTAGCACGTTTCCGTTGTTCAGCTCCATCATAAAGCCAACAGAGAGGTTTACATCCCGCCCCCGCGTTCTCATTGGCCCATTTCAGAGACTGAATCATGCGGGCGATGTGGCTGTCAATCATACACCGCACTTAAAAGTAAAATCAAACTACTTGGACAACACACAAAAGATCTGATCATACGATTGTCCATAGTGTCAACATTAAGTTTTAAAAGGATCTGTTACTCAAGAGACAGCAGAACAGAATATATCTGACCGTTGTCGTAGGGAGATCTCTCACGCAAGCATGCAGTGCCACCCCCGCGCAGCTTCCCGCACATACGCTATGAGCTTCACATTACTGCAGCTCGTGTTTACACGCAAAACACACGGAAAATACTCACCGACGGTAATGGGCGCTAACTTGTAGCGAACGACAGAATTCGAGTTAAAACACAGAGCGAAGAAGTTCCACCTCTTTTGCCTTCGTCCAAGCGAAAACTTGGGACGAGAATAGCTAATCTCGAGGGCGAAGCCCCTTCTGTGCAGCGCGGATGAAAGAACTTCCGCACAGCCGCTCTGCGAGCTCTATCACCGCACTGAGATCCGGCCCCGCTCACGCAAATCCAGCCCGCCCCAGCACGCGCAGCACAGTGAAAATGCAACCAAACCATGTATGAAAATATGCTCTTCAGGACGAATGCGGTAACACTTGTGTTGAAAACGAAATAGAAATAATGATGTAATATATCTTACATTTTGCCTTTTTTTCCCCCCAGAAAGTAGTAGCCTAGTTTTATATAATGTAATTTTTATATAAATAATAAAAATCGCTACCACCATGCCAAGCATTTTGGGGAACTGAATTTCTCCAAAATAAGTTTGTATTTGATTATAACTGAAATGAGAAATATAACTATTTTTGTAGGCCTATATATTGATTTTACACCACATAGCTTTTTAGGTCATTAATAAACATGTTGTTTAAATTTTTACATTTGATATAATTACAATTCTCAAAAATTAAAAAATATAGGCTAATAAAAATATTTTTATACATTCAGTCAATTGACTGCTATAGCTATTGTGTTGTTAAGTCTATAATCTAAGATGTGTGATAGGCTACGTTTTTACACAGATGAGTTTAAAGATGTAGGCTATCATTTTTCAAGTAGGCTATTTAAGTTGTTAGAAGTGTCCCTATGTATGTGTGTTAAACTAAAACAATGTCATGAGCGCCTCGGGTGGTCTGTCAGACTCTTTTGCAAACCTGGATTTGCTCTCTCGTCCATGCAAGGTTTCAAATGTTTATTCTTTACGCATTTTCGTTTAGCGAGTTTACCAGCAGTGTCTATAGTTATACTGGGCCTGAGTGATCTTTCGACATAAAAGAAGAAAAATGTAACGAACGAGCATTTAAATACAAGCATAGCGTCTGCTTTATATGTTTTCACTATGCGTGCGTCTGGATCAGCTAATGTACAGTACGGTCACGTGACGGATAACAAGCTAAGCCGTCAATCGCATGAAGAACCGCGAGACCATAAGAGAATTTTCCTGCTGCAACAAACACGAAATTATTATCCGTTTCTCTCATATAGTTGGTAAGATTGCATTTTTTGACCGCGTGAATGCATTTGTCTGTGCTTTGGTTAATGCATGTTTTGTTGGCCAAGGTGCATGAAAACGGACACCTTTTCTTCGACAACACTTGATCGGTGTAGACTAGACGTGTAAAAATTATTATGATTCTGTCGCGGGCAAATCTGCTGGGAGTCAGACCATGCATGTTACAGAAGCATGAACTAAATAGCTCCTACACGATATTTTGTGTAATATCCATTCGTTGACATTTTCCTGTGCGATGTTTGCTGTTTGTAAATGTCCTTTTGTGTAATGAAATATAAGAATCACTGTCAGGTATTGTCTGGTCAGGTCTGCATGCAAAGATTTTAAAATGTTGCTCTAGTCTGTAACCATTAAATACAATCCAGTCGTTGCTGCTTATCCGTAGGTATTACGTAGGCTATATTGATACAATGATTCAAGATGTCATTCTTCGATTAAGTTATAGCTTATGGCCGCTTCAGAAGAAAATTCTTCCTATAAAATCCCCAAATAGCAGCCTACCTATAAATAATTTAAGAATGTAATTTACACATGCGTTTCAATGTAAAAAACAAAACAAAAAAGCCAATCCTCTCCAGATGTAAACATCTGGTATGTCTCAAAATGTGTTAAAATAATATGGCCATTTTGATCGATAGAGGTCGCCAGTTACTCAGTAAACTCAGGCTCTTCTGAGAGACTCTTCATTGGTTGGTTCTGGCACTGGTCATGTATATGCATCTGCGGGACAAGGAAATTGTATGTCCGAGAGGATAAAAAAAGAGAAATATAGTTTAAAAGTATGGTCCTTTCACATGTAATCCTTGTATTTCTGCTGGAGTCATGCATTTTGAAAAAATATTTTAAATATATATATTTTTTTACATTTTCTTTAATTTTTTTTTTATGATATTCGTTAATTTAAAAAAGTTTTCTTAAGGTTGCTGTATTTGACATGAAAAACCCCCCAGCTAAAATAGTGGATAAAAAAAAAAAAAAAACTATGACTTTTTTATATTTGTAAAGACATGAGACAGAAAAGATAATATAAGAGGATGGCTTTTAAATAACTCCGTAAATACAAAAGATACTAAATTTTATGTTCCTAGAAATGTTGACTAAAATGTATTAATATAGGTAAAAGCCATTATTACATCATAACAACATTCAAGTTATGCATAGGGATTTATTTGGTTGAAATCTGTCTTCTACCTATATGTATGTTCTATGTAACAGGTTGAGATGGACGTGTCTGGTCATAGTCTGTTCCTCCTGCAGCAGCTGAACGTCCAAAGGGAGTTTGGCTTTCTGTGTGACTGCACTGTTGCCATTGGCAATGTATACTTCAAGGCTCATCGTGCAGTCCTCGCTGCCTTCTCAAACTACTTCAAAATGATCTTTATCCACCAGTCCAGGTTAACTAAAGCTCTAAAACTACCACTTTTTGAAACTACCACCTGTTGACTTTATCTTGAACTGTACCAACATAACAGTACTGAATTGAAGGGTCACCCATCATGCTTAATAGTCTGATAATCAAAAAAGAATGTGGAGGAAGTCAAGATAACTTGATTGATAAACAATAAAAGTTGTTGCATGTTAATAATAATATTAAATATAAGCAAATGACAATTATTAAACACAATTAGTAGAGAATTAATACATTGCTTATTGTGTTTTTAATTGACTGTCTTGCTTTTTTCAGTGAGTGCATCAAGATCCAGCCCACAGATATTCAACCAGATGTCTTCAGCTACCTATTACACATCATGTACACAGGCATGGGTCCCAAACAACCTGTAGACCAGGGCAGACTTCAGGAAGGCATCAAGTTCCTCCATGCATACCAGCTCTGCCGTAAAACAGGCGAGGGTGGCCCCGATGCATCCTCTGACCCCATCCGTATGTCCAATCTGTATGGCATCCAAATCTCTTCGCAGCTGGCCAGTAAAGAGAACTCAGGCCTGAAGGCTGGTGGTTCACGGGACCCTGAGGACAGCTGCTCCAGCACGAGGGCTGATCGCACACATGGCCGTTTAGCTCTCGCTGTAGGGCTGGAGGGCATCGCATCTGAGCGACAGCCTCAAAGCTTCCGTGCCGCGTCCTCGGTGGCCTCGGGGGATGAATCTGACATTTCGGCACGGATCAAACAGGAAAGGGTAGAGGAGGAAGAACAACAGGAAGGCGACAAGGAGCTTTGCTCTCTCTCCCCAGCCCAGGTGAGCCCCTGTCAAGCCAGTCTATTCAAAGATGGCCCTCTAGCGCTTTTGTGCCCCCGGTGTGGTGAACGATGCCTGTCACCTGAAGGCCTACAAGAGCACCTTTTTACCCATACAGCCTGTGCCCTCGAGCCTAGCGGTCTGATGGAAGGCCCTTCAGAGGACAAAACTGGGGAGCACACGTCCCTGGAGGAGAGGCGGCTTCATAAGGAGCGCATAGACTCTGGTAGTCTGGAGGAGGCCCTACGGCAGAGCCAGGCCCTGGCAGATGAGCTGGCTGTGGAACTCAGGCGAGGCGGCGGGACCGGACGGAGCGGCAGCCCATTGGCAGCCTTCACGCGAAAGCGCAAGATGGCCTGTGCCGTCTGCAATCTTCGTTTCTCGCAGAAGAGCCAGCTGCAGGAGCACATGTTCTCCCATGTGGGCAAGCCACTGCGATACCATCGCTACAGCCGCTTCTGCGGGCAGCTGCTCCATGGCTGCGAGGGCCAGCCTGATATTACCGCAGCCACGGGAGAGGACGCAGCCAAAGACACTCAGGATAATGGCAGCTCCTGCTACTCACTGGACTCTGAGGTCTCTCAGGAGAGCGTGGACGCAGTGACTGTGGAATGACGTCGTGTTTGACATATTCATGTGAACACACAATGTAAGGTAAAGGAACGTTCTGGGTTCAGTACGTTAAGCTCAATTGACAGCATTTGTGGCATAATTTCGATGACCACAACAATTCCACCTGTTTCTCCTTTACTCAAAAACAAAAGAGCAAAAATCTGGGTTAGAGTGAGACACTTTGGAAGTGAATGGGGTAAATCCCTAAAATGTTTAAATAAGCACTGTTTCAATAGTACAGCCACAAGACGTAAAAAAAAATGTGTATGTTACCACGATTTTAGTCTGAGAATAAAATCCCTTACTATCCTTTTCTAAGTTTCCTAAGTTATACTATATCCAGGCCATTTGTTTTCAAGTCGACAACAACAGGCGCACATGTTGACGAGCGCTTGTGTGGGGTTAAGAAATACCTGCAACCCAAATTAAAAAAAATTATCGGTCATAACTTCTGGAAAGAAATAGCGCAGACACCGGAAGGATAACATTTTCTAATATCCTTAGAAAGGCTGTGTTCAGCTGTATATATATATATACTCTAGTGAAAAAAACCTATACCAAAATGTATTTAAAATACATTTATTTCACACTTAGTACAAACCATTACCATATTTACTGGCATATCACTTGATACTTGCTGATATAAATATTATAATTAAACTTTATTTGGAGTACTTCTTAATTGCACAATGCACATTTCTTAATACTTAGTCGTGTTTTAATATCACTATTAGTACGGATAGTATGATCTCAGTAATAATATCAGTCTTTAAATGCAAGAGATTTAAAGTGTACTTAAAGTATACTTGCAATAGTTCCACTTTAGCACAATCAAATATAGAATATCTTTAGTTGGACCTGTTTCCAGATAACTGAAGTGTATTAAGTACAAAATTAGTTGTTGCAATTTAGCAGACCATAAGTATATCAATAAGTACAATTGCAGGGTATATTAAGTACATAAATATGTCAATGTATTTGTAGTAGCTATACTTAGCAAAAATACAGTTTGGTATATTTACTTTTCACTTGGCTTTACTTTGTGCTTAATGCTGTAAACCCTAAAACTTTCAAACAACTTTTAAGTTTCATTCCAAGTGCCTTACCATAATGTCGATTTTTGCTTTTTTAAACACGGACAAGTCGAAATTATGTCTTGTGCGAAATGCCATAAATGCT